TTTAAATATACGTTCAACCATTACACTTGTAATTTGTACTATGTGTGCTTGCAATCGTTACATAACAGAGGTAGTATTGGATTTGGCTCAAAAGCTGGTCCATATAAGTTATTTAGTGGTTTTGATGATTTTATTAGCGTATTTGGTTTCACATAAATTTGTTTATATGCATTTACAGTTAAATTGGTCTTTTTCTTTGGTTAGTATAATAGGATATGTTTTTATCGATATCTCTTAGAATATCATAATATCACACTATTAATAGTAATGTACATCGTCTCAAGCACTAATGTTTATTGTAATAACACGATACACCTACATTAATAGCAGTACTTCCAAGTATGTCGATTGTATACCTGAGTCGGACTTTAGTATTAATACTTTAACGAATACGCTGAGCACACGCTATGGTGTCAAGCACCAAAGGCTGGAGCTGAAACTGGACATTTGGATTGGCGAAACCAAGCGGGAGTGGAACATGCGGAGGGAGAGCAAGAAGCCGTCGAGAGTCCATCGTCACCACCGTCGCGTCGTTGATGTCAATGGGGGCGACAAACTGCGGCGCCAGCCCCACGATGCCTCCTGGGGGCTCGACAGAGTGGAGCTTGTACTGGCACGCTCGAAAGTGTGGCGAGATGCGGATGCACAAGATGTACGCGACGCCAGGGAATGTTGCCCAGAGAATGGCTTTAGGATCCAAAAGCGCCCAACCGCGAGAGACACCGACCTCGATCTTCAGCGTATGGAATTCACCCCAGTCGAGGTTTGCAGGACCGACTGCGCCGATATTTGGGGCCGGCCCAAAGCTCTCGTCTGGTTCAATATGTTCTAGGGCATCGACAAACGTCGCTCCGTGTGGTTTGAGGTGCACGTTGAAGGTTCCAGTTGCGGCCCCAACCGCGAAAGCTATACTACGGTTCATGTGTTCATGGATCCGTCCAGGTAGTTCAACGATGTAGATAGCGCCATCTCGCCACATCATAGAACGGGACATGAGCTCTTGGTACTCTGAGTTGACGAACCGATTCCAGTCGGACTTGGTCGCATCGCATACCTTGACACCGGCATCCAAATGCGTCGTGAAGAGCGCCGTCTGCACGTGCGTCATGTCCATGGAGCGCAGGGCGTTGTTGATGCGGCGGACTGGATTCGTGGGAGCAGATATCTGCGTGGCCTCGACTTCGCCGCCGTACGCAACGCTCATGCTGAGAAGAAAATGAACTGTGCAAGTTACAGTACTATTAATAGTATCAACTTTTCCCTGTCGCTCCGATATCATTTCATTCATCCGGATTTATCCGGATTTTGAACAAATTTGACTACGGTATTCTACGTTGGCGAAATAGTGTGGAGACAAAGTTGGCGTGCAGAATTGAGTTGACGCGGACTTCGGTGCGCGTGCTGCGGTTACCGGAGGCGCGTCTTTGGATCTTTAGGCACACCGAGAAGCTCGTGATGCGGTCGTTGTGCCGAAGCAGCAGCTACGATGGCGTGTCCGGTACATACTGCATGCAGACTAGGAGAAGCAGGCCTGGAGCCACCCCCATGCTTGCAATGATCTTCCACTCGTTCAGGTTAAAGCTCACTTAGCACGTGCTCAAATACACGAAGAACTGGCCTGCGCCAATGTACACGATGCGGCCGCCGAGTATACGGACGACTCTATCCGCTGTCGCCTTCGCGACTGTACAACATCCAAGTCGACATGTTCGACGGCCGCGTGAACCACGCCGAGTTCTTCCAGCTGATCCTTCCCCTTGGCATGCTCATAGGTTCGTTGGTTACGTTCAACCTTGCCGATCGCTTGGGACGGGCCGCGATGCTCGACCTCAGCGCCATTCCGTACGTCCTGGGTTGGTTGTTTGTGGGCGTGGCGTTTGCAAGTCACGCTCAGATATTTCAAACGACAGCTTTTGTGTGTTTGGCTACCAATCTGACATATATATAGTCACATAATACGTCGAATTTTTATTCTTTTTCACAGAACAAAGTTTGAACTGCAACAGTCCATTTTTTACAAACATGATATTCTATCGATAGCTCAAAATTCCTATTGATGACTGAGAAATGATCGTTTTGCAGAGAGGCACAAAAGCTGGTCCATATTGGTATTATACAGGTTGTAGTTGCATTATGCACTCTTTGCGTGTTGATCAAGCATGCTTAATAATTATATTGATTGCTTAATACAAGTGTAAACTTTATTTATTATATTACATATCTATTTTATACTATGCATATACAATGTAAGGTTAGTGCACATGGTTGTATGTCATGTAATATAAGCTCAACGGATTAGTAATCCAGAGTGTTATATACTATCACTATGTATATTATCGCTATATTGTATAATTATGGATTAATACAATGTAGTATACCAGTGTATAAGTGAAAATTAGGTGCGTACGGAG